TAATACTAGGTAGTCTAATTTTGCATTGATGTTCTTGGGCCTTCTCTAAAGGAATAAGCAGGAAGCCCAAAACAGAAATACTTTTTGTTTTTTTTGAGATGAAGTCTCGCTCTGTTACCCAGGCTGGATTGCAGTGGCACGATCTCGGCTCACTGCAACCTCTGCCTCCAGGGTTCAAGTGATTCTCCTGCCTCAGCCTCCCGAGCAGCTGGGACTACAGGCGTGCGCCACCAAACCCAGCTAATTTTTATAATTTTAGTAGAGAAGGGGTTTCATCATATTGGTCAGGCTGGTCTTGAACTCCTGACCTTGTGATCTGCCTGCCTCGGCCTCCCAAAGTGCTGGGATTACAGGCATGAGCCACCATACCTGGCCAAAACAGGAATACTCTTAGAAATCTTGAGAATGCTATTCTCTTGTGAATAACAAAATATTATTGTAACAGTCATGTTCTGTAGCAGATCCAAGGGAGTAGGAAAATGAGTTTCTTGGCCGAAGGTACACCTAGACGCCATCTTTCCTAAATCCCAGTCACCTATAGCACAGAACTCCAATCAATATAAGCACTGGGCCTTACGGTCTTTGAGCTAATCTTGACCAAGTCAGACCATACAGCAGTAAACTGCAAACAATCAGCCAGTGACATGTGGATTAGTCTTGCATCCCTAAACATGCTACATGGTGTAAATTCTGGCCACCTAAATTGGTTAGGTCTGCATTGGTTTGGTTCAGTCTGAATATCTGAGTTATAGTCATATTTCTTGATTTACATTCAATTTCCTTCTTGATTGGCTGAGGCCCTGATCTCCTGCCCATCTTTGTAAGCTCCCTCTTGCAGGGACTAAACATGCTTAGTCACTGGATTACATCCCTGCTCTAAAATGACCAAGCCAGGCTGGGCACGGTGGCTCATGCCTGTAATTCCAGCACTTTGGAAGGCCGAGGCGGGTGGATCACCTGCGGTCAGGAGTTCAAGACCAGCCTGGCCAACATAGCAAAACCCTGTCTCTACTAAAAATAAGGAAATTAGCTGGGTGTGGTGGCACGCGCCTGTAATCCCAGCTACCTCAGGAAGCTGAGGCAGGAGAATCACTCAAACCCTTGAGGAGGAGGCTGCAGTGAGCTGAGATCATACCACTGTACTCTAGCCTGGGTAACAAAGCAGACTCCGTCTCAATAATAAATAAATAAATAAATTAATTAATTAAATAAAATGACCAAGCCAGCTGTCACTTGCCTCACTCTGTAGATCATCATCACTCATGACCTCCTTTTGCCCCACAATCATTCACATACACAACTTTTGTCACAAACATTATCTCATTTTAAAAAGTGATTCACAGCACAGGTGAGCTTATCAGAATCATTACACTAAAGGGCACAGGTAAGGAAAATCCCTTGTCTAGAAACTTTTGCAGCCACTCCTCACTCATCAAAATAAACTCATAAGGGCCAGACATATGCCATTTTGCATGAATTATAGAAATAAGTAAAAAGTAGAAGGCTAACTTTTTCTCTTCGGTGGAGAGGGTGAGAAAGGACATCTTTCAAAGGAAAGAAAATGAGGATAGCTTTTTAGAACGTAAGATAAACAATGTTTTAAAAAGTTGTATGTTTCTCTGTTGATACCAAATAAAGTAAACCTGAGGCTGTTCTAAAAATCTGGGATTCTCAATTCCAAAAGATAAAAGAGATGGTAAAGGGTATATAGGCTTCCACAGTCTTATATTTTTTACTGCCAATAAGGCCTGACCTTGCTGCTCAGACATTTACAGATAGCAGTATTGCCAATGTAAGCCCATGACTTGCTGGCAATCTGAAGACATCAAAGAGCAAGTGTCATAGTTAACACTGCCCTAAAACCCATCATGAATGAAACAGCTGCATCCTATAGGCAACCTCAAGGGCATTTCAATAAAGGAATACTTATTCTAGTTCAGGTTAAATTAAGACCTGTAGCAAAAGAACATTTCATAACACTTAACAGAAATGTCCCAGACTACAGCCAGGCGTAGTAGTTCATGCCTGTAATCCCACCACTTTGGGTGGCTGAGGTGGGCGAATTACTTGAGGCCAGGAGTTTGAGACCAGCCTGGCCAACATGGTGAAACCCCATCTCTACTAAAAATACAAAAATTAGCCAGGTGTGGTGCCCTGGGCATGTAATCCCAGCTACTTAGGAGGTTGAGGCACATGAATTGCTTGAACCCGGCAGGCAGAGGCTGCAGTAAGCTGAGATCCCGCCACTGTACTCCAGCCTGGGCAATACAGTGGGACTCTGTCCCAAAAAAAAAAAAACCCAAAAAAACCAAAAAAAAACACTCCCAGGCTATTATCAATATATTCACAACACAATTTAAAAATATGTTCTATATTCTGGGTGATCTCATAGAGACCTAATGCCATAAAAGGAAATATGCTATATTTTTCTCAGAATGGTTTCTTGGTTGAGAGATAGTTCATCGAATTTTTTTCATCAAAATAAGAACTACCTGAAGGGTTAGTTACTCAAGTAGGAGATGTCTCTTAATGGTATAATATGCCTGATACTTTTACATTCTCCTAAGAAAAAAGAAGCTAATATTTGTTTTAAATTTAGCACATCATCAATAACCACGTATGTACCTGTTACCAACTGCCAATCTTTAAAAATAAACTGTAAACCTACTGTGGAGTTGTTTCACTTTATTCCTTCTGAAAAACCTAGACCTGCCTAATCACTTATGCTTTGTAACTTTTCTGAAAAACCACTGAGTCCATTAAGAATGCTTTCTTCTACATCACCATTCTGCTTCTTATTCCTCTTTCTTTCTTTTAATTAAGAAAGGGTCTCACTCTGTTGCCCAGGCAGGTCTTGAACTCCTGGCCTCAAGAGATCCTCCTGCCTCAACCTCCCAAAGTGCTAGAATTACAGGCATGAGCCACACCCCACCTTATTCCCAGTCATCTCTAAACCTTCTTCCTGACAAACAACTCATGAAAAAAACACTTCAAATATATATGCCCTCATCTCCATCCATTTATTTAAATGCACACATGTACATATAAAAAACTCAATGTTAAGCAGTTTTTCCTCAATACCTAAAATCAAAGCAAAGGCAATCCTTGGCTTTTCTATCCCCTAAACAGCCCCCACAACAAGATTTTAATGTAAACAAAATAAAGATTTTATTTAATGTAAACAAAATAAAAATATAAAACAGAAAATTAAGGATGTAACTAAAGATATAGGTGTAACTCTTATATTTCCTTCCAGTGTCAACTCGTGGCAAACAAAAGAAATATCTGTTTTACATACTGAATGCTGCAGTGTCTGTTAATGTAGTAATTAGAAAACTCTAGTACATTAGAACTGCTGCTTGTCAAGGAAGCTTACACTTCCTTCAAAGCCAGGTCATTTTATTTAGTACATCTATCTAGTATATTAGAAAAGTCTAACAGAATGCTAGTCCACAGTTCACTAGCATTCTACTAGACTTTTCACAGAAGTCTGAAATTTAAAAAAGAAATCTGTTCGATTTGGGATTTAAGCAGTCAATTACACTCTTACTACATAGTCTAAAATTAAAGAGATAAAAACTAAGTATTTATATAGCAAATTTTTATCTGTGGTGGCCCTAAGCATGTTTAAGTGATTAGGGCTTGCTTTGCTATTGAGAGATTACTGGGAGGCCACCTTTATTATCCATACTTTACAGTTGGACACACTGAGATACACAGGTAAAGTGGGTTCTACAAACTAATGTCATGAGTCATCATAAGAGCTCGTATCTTCTCACTAGAAATTCTAGTCTTCTGTCTGCTGTCCACCACAAATCCTTATTTGATTTCTAAGAGCACAGGAACCTACTCACTAAAAATACCAGCAAGAATTTGTAGGCATTTACTGTTTTTTTAAATGAATGTTTACCTAAAAATAAAAAGACCTGGCTTTGAAGGAAGTGCAAGCTTCCTTGAGAAGCCGCAGTCATCTTTATTTGCATTTGAAAACTCATTTTTAAAAAATCTTAAAAGCTGATGAGTGCATCATCTCTTACTATACACAACAATTGCTAGTTCTCAAAGAAGTTGGTTTGATGACACCAGAGCCTCCTAGTTTTACTTTAAATTACTTTGAATAAGGAACTACATTTTTTTTTTGCCTTGGTATTTCCCTTCTTAAAACAGAAACAGAAAACTTAATTCCTACCTGACACAGACAACGTAAGGAAGAATTTGTTTGTGGACTGCTTTGAGATTCCAGAACGAAATACATAATCCAGTTGATCTTCAAACCTACAATAAAGACAAACTTCACTGAACATAATTGCTTCAGCAGATGCCTTCAAAATAAGACACTATACCATTATTTATGTAAAGAGAAGTTGTATTTAAGCAAAATCTTGATCACAGTGCAATGGAAGAAAAAAACTACAAAACCGTTTAGAAAGTTCTTTTGCTCAATTAAACAATTTAATACTTCTCACGTATGTCTCCCATAAGCACACTAATTCTAAAGGTAGCAGAAATTGTATGCATTTATTAGAGAACAGAGACTCCCAGGAAAATTATGCAGTCAATTGCAATAGCAAATGTATAAAACAAATTAATAATACATTTTATAAAATAAATTCTGTTAAATTTCATCTAAGATTAGTTCTTGGGCAGCTACACCTAATGGAGGACAAGAAAATTTCCAAATTTTAAGTGTATGTTTGCAGGTCAACCTTTAACAAGTCTTAACCCGTTATAGTTTCATGAAGTCTGTACTCAAGTTGCTTTTCCAGGCATGTCAGGTAAACGTAATTCTTAGAAATTAAAGCTTTAATCAATAAGTGTAACCGATTTATTGTCACTCTTTCGATGATACTTCCACCAACCGGTAAAGAAAGAAGAAATGTTATTAAACTGGAAGATGAACTAGAAACATTGAGCGGATACCTAGCTTAGGCAGAAAGCAGCAAGGACTAGAAGGATATGACACAAAGAAGTCTTCAGAGATTTAATAAGTAAAACATAGAATGAAGTTAAGAGGCTTGACTTATACAAATGAGGGGGAGGGTGGAAGAGTTTTGGAGGGGAAAAAATTAAGATTAGAGACTCACTGGGTCCACGATGGAAAAGGACGGGAGGATAGTGGCCATCAGGCAGAAAGCGATGAAGCAGGGTACCAAAGGAAAGCGAAGGGAGTGAGGGTTTCCGAAGGTAAGATGGGGCATGGAATGAACTCCAGTGCAAAGCGATGCTAAAGCAAAACACAATCGGCAACTAACAAAAAGGGAACCAGGAGGAAGTACCCAAAGGAGGTGGATGAGAGGAAAATAAAACCAAGGAAGAAATTATGGAGGTAACAAGAGGGAGAAACCTGGTCGGCCAGGGTAAGGAGCCCCGGACAGGGGAGTCAGCCTAGGGATGGAAACACAGAGATACGCGGCTTCCCAAGGAGGGACCACCAAGGCAAAAAGGCACGTGGGAGGCGCGGGATGAAAAAGCAGAACCACGAAAGCGGGTAAAGGAGGGACAGAGTGACGAAGATGGAGTAGGGGGTGAAGGGCAGGCGAAGGCAGGGACACGCCAGGCGCGAGGTTCAGGAAGAACGGGTCGAGGGACGAGCGCAGGGGCAGGGGCGGCCGCGGGCACCGGGAGAGCAGCGCGCCGCGGCCCCTCGCCTCCCGCAGAGCGCTCCGCACCGCCGTCCCCGCCGACCTTCAGCGGGGCCGGGGCCAGGTCCGACAGCCAGCAGTCGGGTGAGGGGCCGCGGCGGGCGAGCGGCGGACGAGGAGGAGGCCGCTTCCTTCCTAGCCCCTGGGAAAGAGGGACGGAGGGAGGGGTCATGGGTGTCGGGAGTCGGGGGAGCCAGAGGAGACAGTAAGGGGGTTACCTCTCGCCTGGGTCGGCCTCTTCCCCCCCCTGTCGGACGGAGGAGCTCGTTGTCCAGCTGGAAGAAGACGGCCCTACCCGGGTCAGCACCATCCCGCCCCGGGCCCCCTCACATCGCCATCACAGCAACCGCAAACACCGCAACCGCGGAGCCGGTTCGTCACCGCGGCTCGGCTACTGGCCCAGCGCGGCCAGCGAGCATGCGCAGTCGCCCCAGTCCCGAGGGAGTCCGGGCCAGCCGGCTATACCTGCGATCAACAGGTCCCCGGCCGCACGGCCCCGCCCCCGGCCTCTCTCACCTCCTCCTCCCGCCTCTTCCCTCCCCTCTCTGAGGCTAGGCCCCGCCCCTTCAAGCTCCGTGCCCCGCCCTTCAGGAGCTTCAGTTGCCCCTCCAGCTCCAGCGCCTACTGAGATTTCGAGAGATTTGTCCGCCCTACCAGGCTCCCGTTCCCAAGTTCCCGCGAGAACGGGAGAGTTGCGTCAACAAAAAGCGCGCGTCCAAGAAAAGGGGCTTGCCTGTGCGTTTAAGGGATGGAACCTGGAGGTGGAGGGGGAGTAGAGAGCAAGAAGAGGGCAAAAAGAGGGAGTTCGAGAACTTTAGCCTTTTTTCTCACAATGTTGTTTCTCCCTTTCTCTCTAGCTCCTCGGTGCAGTCCCGGGTAGAGAGCCCGGTTCCTGCGCTAGTCGATTTGTGCGGTAGGAAAGGAGGCTGCAGGAGATCTGCGGTGGGGCGGGACAACTGCCTTTCGGGACCTGTTGGGAGATATGGGTGCTGATCTGGTTATTTCTTGGTTTATGACGCCAAAAAGGGTGGGAGGGGGCTGATGAAGTGAAGCCTTTCGCTGTTACATTCCATTAACAGAAACCCTCATTGATTTATTTCACTCTTCCCTGTTTCTGAACCTTATGTGGCAAAAACTTTTGTGGTGCATAAAGTTCAGTATGTTGCTAAAGCTGAGTTAATGAAAGGAAAATTTCGGCTGCGACTCGTGTGTTAAAAATGAATCTAGGATGGATAGTGGTGTTGGTTGCTCAATAATGAATGGACGTAATGCTCCTGAACTGTGCACTTAAAATGGTTAAAATGGTAAATTTTCTGTTATGTATATTTTACCGCAGTAAGAATTAGAAGGGAAAAGCTTTGTGCATTCATTTGAAAGTAATGGTGATGTCTTGTAACCTAGGCCATATGGGGGACAGGTTTTGAATATATAATTTAACCATTGTTTTTCATCTTTGTACCAGGTTTTTTTTTTTTTTTTTTTCCTTTTGTGAGTCAGAGTGTTGCTCTGTCGCCCAGGCTGGTGTTCAGTAGTGTGATCTCGGCTCACCGCAACCTCCGCCTCCGGAGTTCAAGCAGTTCTGTCTCAGCCTCCCGAGTAGCTGGGACTACAGGCACATGCCACCACGCCCGACTACTTTTTGTATTGTTAGTACAGACGGGGCCTCACCATATTGGTCAGGCTGGTCAGGAGACCTTAGGTGATCCACCCGCCGCTGCCTTCCAAGTGCTGGGATTACAGGCCTAAGCCACTATGCCCGGCTTGTACCAGTTTTTACATGATTGGATGTCCCATTATCCTGTGAACCAATCTATTTGCATTTGTATGAATGGCCTGCTTTCCTGAATTCTAATTTGTCCCTTCTTTTATAGCCCTGTACCATTTTACTGTCCTTGCTAAACAGGCTTGCTTGTTTTGTGACTTGAACTTTAGCCTCAAAATTGGAAAGGCTTTTTCTGTTTTTTTAGTTCCAGCCATGTCTTAGGAGAATATAGTAAACAACCAATTATTTGCATTTCCACCTCCGTGCACTCCATGTGGCCCACACTGTGTGCCAAGATTCTTTCCCTGTTCCGAGTTCTTTTTATTCAAATCACATTGTTAACTCATCTGCTATGTGCCAGGCAGTGTGCTAATCTTGGAAGATACCAACATGAATGAAAAAGAACTTGGGTGGAGTGTTTGCATTATTACCCTATGATGTAATGTGTGTAGTGCAGAGATAAAGGCACAGGGAGCTATTGGAGCTCAGAAGAAGCATTAATCCAACTTTGGGAAGAGGTCATGAGTCAGGAAAAACTTCCAGGAGAAAATGATTCCAGAAAGTTGAAGTGGGATGTCTTGTGGCGGTTGGGAGGAGTAAAGGGAAAAGGATTGCTTAAACAAAAGCTGTACAGTAAGAAACTGGTCTTTGTGCTGAACTAAAACTAAGACTTCTATGCCACTGTTTGTGGATGTGAGGCTGGAGAAGTTGACAAGGATCATGGTGCGCCTTCGAAAAAAACTCAAATCAGTTCAACCATTATATATATATTTTTATTGTTTATTAGATGTTTGCCAAATACTGTGCTAGTTACTGAGGGATATAATGAAGGTTAACGGTTAGTCTAAAATCTCAGAGTTTGCAGTCTAGTAGGGGTAGACAGGCATGCAAAAACAAAAACAAAAAAAACAAGTTCTCCTACATAGTTAAAATTGGGGTAGGTACAGGGTTGTCTGGGAACCCAGAAGAGGAGCACTTAACTAACCTAGAGATTTAGCAAGAGTTCCTGGTAATTATCTATTGATAGACGAATATAAAATAATCTCTTAAAGAAATACGAAAATTCACCTGGGACTGCTTTGGCTCACCCCTGTAATCCCAGCACTTTGGGAAGCCGAGGCAGGCAGATCACTTGAGGTCAGATGTTCGAGACCAACCTGGGTTTAGCAGAGAAACCCCATCTCTACCAAAAATAGAAAAATTACCCGGTATGGTGGCAGGCACCTGTATTCCCAGCTACTCCAGAGGCTGAGGCATGGAAATCGCTGGAACCTGGGAGGCGGAGGTTGCAGTGAGCCGAGATGGCACCACTGCATTCCAGCCTGGGCTACAGAGTAAGACTCCTTCTCAAAAATAAAAAACAGCAACAACAACAACAAAAACCATAAGAAATAAGAAAATTTATGCCATCTGCTGAGGTACAGACTACTAGAGGATTTAGCACACTGATCTAATTGTCAGATTACCTGGTTCTAATTCTAAAGTCTTCATTATACTGTGTTATCTTGAGAGTGTCTTACCTTCTCTAGGTCTGTTTTCTCTCACATATGGGAAGATAATCACATTATATACAATTTGAATTCCTTTAGAAATTTGTGTAGAAATTTCCGGATTCTAAATTTACTTCCCGTGTTTATCATCCCAGATTTCTTGTCACCCATTATGCTGCTAATAAACAGTTTTGTGTCACATTTAATGTACATTAACATTTTATGTTATATGTGTCATTTTCAATCTATGTTGTGCTCAAGGAATATAAGATTTCGAGTCCTTTCTATCTTGTAATTGGTTTACATAATTTAACTTTGGCATGAAGTGTTTTTGAATGTTTGCTAAACCCTTCTAACTGTGGAGTATTCTCGTAATCCAAAGATCAGGTTATCTCTCCCTTTCTCAGTTGCACAACATTGATTCAGCTAAAGATTGAGACAGTAGAAGAAATGAATATTGTAAATTTGAAAATAGCCCTATGAAGTCTGGGCGCGATGGCTCATTCCTGTAATCCCAGCACTTTGGGAGGCCAAGGCAGGAGATCACGAGGTCAGGAGTTTGAGACTAGCCTGGCCAACATAGTGAAACCCTGGCTCTACCAAAAATACAAAAATTAACCAGGCGTGGTGGTGGGTGTCTGTAATCCCAGCTACTCGGGAGGCTGAGGCAGGAGAATCACTTGAATCCCGGAGGCAGAGGTTTCAGTGAGCCGAGATTACACCATTGCACTCCAGGCTGGGCGGCAGAGCAAGACTCCATCTCAAGAAAAAAAAAAAAAGAAAGAAAATAGCCTCATGAAGGATGTCTCATATTTGTCAGATGCTAAACATTAATTTACTTAAAAAAAAAATCTGTATTTTTCCTCACTGGGCTTTATGATTTTTAAAATATTCCTGTTGTAAGTATGGTCATTCTTTGAAAATTAAAAATGAGATATAGTCAAAGTTATTCCACAACTTTTTTCAACAATGTGATTATTTTTGGCATTTCATACAGGGAATTCTGAATTCTTTTTTGTAAGAATTAGAGTATTCTAATAAAGTGTGATAAGTGATAATAAAGTATTAAACCTCCTTCTGGGGCATTCACTCTTGTCTCCAGGCAGAGTATAGATTTTATCATTTACGGATACTTGGGTGAATGCCCACAGTACTCAAAGATAAGTTTTTTAGGAGGTTATATTACTTTAACAAGAAATATAAAACAGCAGAACAAAGTTTCATTATAGGACTTCCTTTATGGGTTAGTAACAGCTACAAACCAGAAGGGCAAATGTATTACTTCATAACAATGTTGTAATATTATTTCATGATGTTTTGTTTGGTTTTGTTTGTTTTTGTTTTAAGACAGAGTCTCATTCTATGTAATACATATACTCCATATCAGACTGTAATAATACAGAAAAAAAAACCTGATGCTTCCTGGTCTATTAAAGTTCAAAGTAGTTTTTGTTATATTTTGTTAAAAAGGGACAAATAGTGACTTCTTGGTTGCAATTCAGGTTACCTAGGGTTCCCAAAGACAGCATGTCTGCTTGGATCATTGCAGTCAGTCTGTCAGAGACATTCCTCCTACCACCATCCCACTGAATCATTCCTGTGAAGTATAATTAACTAGTATCAAGTGACGGCAGTGAAATGATTTCTGAATTATTCTCTTCTTTGTATGCCTGAAGCCTACTGTGGTTTTTTTTTAAACATAATATTTATACTAATTATCATTTGCTCTTTGACAGCAAACACATTAGGGCAACTATCTCAGTCTTCCTATGACTCATACATTTACATCTTGAGACTTGATCTTTAAAACAATTTCAGCCCCATATCTTCTGCTTCGTATCAGACTGTATCACTTTTCCTGTTATCCTGCTATACCTTCTTATTCAACATATCCCAAACTCATCCTGCCTTCCTTCATGCACAGATCTAGCTCTCTGCCAAACTTCTGGTTTCTGTCAATACCCCTTCCCCTCCCATTTACCAAGCCTAGAACCTCACTGCCATATATATATTTTTTTCTTTTCTTTTGTTCTATTTTCACTTCTTTATCTTTTAAAATCCTTTTCATATATACATTTATATATGCATATTATATATTATATATACATATATATTATATACATAGATATATTTTTTATATATATATATTTTTTGAGACAGGATCTCTTATCACCCAAGCTAGAGTGCAGTGGTGTGATCTTGGCTCACTGCAACCTCTGCCTCCCAGGTTCAAGCGATCCTCCCATCTCAGCCTCCCGAGTAGCTGTGACTACAGGCTCTCACCACCATGCCTGACTAATTTTTGTATTTTTAGTAGAGACAGTTTCACAATGTTGCCCAGGCTGGTCCTGAACTCCTGAGCTCAGATGATCCATCTGTGTTAGCCTCCTAAAGTGCTGGGATTACAGGCGTGAGCCACTGCGCCCAGCATACACACACACACGCACGTATTTTAATTTCAACTTTTATTTTAGATATAGAAGGTATATGTGCAGATTTGTTACAGGGATATATTGCACCCAGGTAGTGAGCATCGTACCCAACAAGTAGTTTTTCAACCCATACTCCACTGCCTCCCTTCCTCTAGTAGTCCACAGTGTCTACTGTTGCCATGTTTATGTCTAACACAGCTATATTTGATGCTTCCCTTTTTTTTAGTTTCCTGTCCATTCCATTTCCATGTCTTGTCTGACCTTTCTTTCAAAATATTTTCTCTCTTTCACAATGCTTCTGTAGTCCAAGGAAAAGTCAAACTTGAACAAAAAGAGGAACATCTCTTCTGGTGAGACTGGAGAAAAGGATTTAAGGTACAATGTGAATGGAAATTAAT